TTTGGGTTACTGCTTCAAAACATGAACGTACTTCAGATGTTATTTCTCATTGCCTGTCGTCTTTTGCTGTAATGGGTCGGCTTCTCAGTTAAAACTGACAATGGCCCCACTTATATTAGTAAGAAATTTCAAACCTTTTGTCAGAAATGGAATGTTACTTTAGAGCATGGAATTGCTTACAACTCTCAGGGTCAAGCTATAGTTGAGCGAGCTCATCGTACTTTTAAGGCATTGCTTCAGAAACAATTACAAACTGAGTCTGGCCCTTACCATCTGCGAAAGATTCAAAATCTCATCGCTGTAGCATTATATACTTGGAATTATTTAACCTTTTTAGATTCTCTTGCAGACTCACCTGTTAATTTGCATTTTTGAACTACTGAATCTTTAGCAAGGCCTTTGGTAAAGTATCGCCAAGCTCCAGATCCAATCTGGAAAGGCCCTACACCGCTGATCACCTGGGGTTGCGGTTATGCCGCTGTGGAAGATCCTTCTACTCGACAAGCAGTGCAGTTCCAGCGCGCTGTGTTCGTCCGTATCATGGCATGGCATCAGGGCCTTCACAACCCGATTCCGGATTTCAATCTTCATCTGGAGATTGAAGTCCGTCTTGCAGCGTTTTGCCATAGACTATCTTTTAGCTCGTTAGGAAGGGTTCTTTACGTTAGTTGGACGCCGTGGATGTGCTGTGCATTTTCATTCTTTGAATAAAACTATTGAGGATGAGCTTGCCAATTTACAATCATACATTCAAAATAATATCCATGCTCATTATTCACCTTTTGAGTGGCTAACCAATTGGCTCCCTGATTGGTCTTGGCTCAGAGTTTTTCTTTTATGCTATAATTATTATTATTGTACTAATTGCAACCTGTTGTTTTATTCAATGTATTCCAAATTTATTCACATTGTTTCATCCCCCTTCCCCCTCTCTTAACCCTCTACAATTGCGATACATTTATAAATCTTTGAATCCTCCATTTAAAATAAAAAAGGAGGATATGTAGACTTGTAATTGCAGGAATGTTCCAATCTCAGATGGCAAACCTCAGATAAAGAATGTTTCCAAGCAAATACAACTCAGGCAAACAAAGTCACTAATCTATGGATAAAGGAGGATTAGAGAGGGGAAGTAAACATATGTTAGACTTTAACTAGAGATAATTAATTGTATGGATTACTGTACTAAACAGTAACGAAAGTTAAGCAGTAACCAAAGTTAACCAATGATGGAGGATAACTAAAAATGTATATAAATGCAAGACTATACTCCAGTAAAGATCATCATCATAATTCAGTTGTTCATGATCAAACAACTCGACTGCCTCGTCATTACAACAGATCACAAAATAGATGTTAATATTGGCCTGAGATTGGTAGTTAATAAAATACACCTATGATAAGAGCAACTAAAAAGCATATAAAGAGCCTCTCCATAACTCCTTGAATTAAAATGCTGTTTACTTTTAACATTCCACTATTTAAAAAAAAAAGTGCTTTATTGTTCATTATAGTTTGCACAGAGTCCATGCAAAAGACTGGGTCACACATGTTCTCCTTCTGTGCATTTGGAAGAAGGAATAATCCATGATTCCATTCTGCTTCAAACAATTCATAGCTAAGTCATGGTTTCAAATAAGTTACTTTGTTAAGCAAGCCAAAGGAACAATCCAAATCTTATTGGAGTTTGCTTTAAAACTGATTTATTCATAAAAATGTAATCATAATTTTAGTAACATAAAAGTGCATGTTTGCTCAATATAGTTTCTCTTTCCTTGTGTGTCTCTTAGTTTTTCCTTTATTCCTCCAATTTTCAAGTCCAGCAATCTCACAATATTTTTCTGCTTGTATAAGAACTCTCATAGACTTTCAGGTCCTTACCAGACACATTGCTATTTCATTTAATAATTTCACAGCTAGAATGATCTGTGTCTCTGTGTGTGTGAGACAAGAGAGAGAGAAAAAGAGAGAGAGAATAAATATGGTATTTGCTTACACAATCTTTTAATTCAAATGTATTGTCTCTTTCTAGGCCAAGTCTGGAAAGAAGTTTATTTAGAGGTGTCATATGATATGCCTTAGGAGTAAATAATTTTCATTTTATCCAAATCAGTCTTTAAACTAAGTGGGGTAATATTCAGGATATGGGGACATGTGTCAAAAAGATGCAGGCACATGAAACACTGGCATTCAAATACTTTTGTTTTCTTGAAGCTGAATGATTAGAAAGCACCCTGAAATGTTACAGCTGTTGCCTTCTTTTTCTTTAAACACCACAGTCAGAGAAGAACTGGGTAAATGTAAGCAAAGGCTCTGAGTTCTATCTGCTTGTACATAAATATTATTTGGAATTGAATCTTGTTAGTTTTTTTCTTTTTCTACTCTCTCTAATTCTGGACACAGAAGGAAAAAAAATCTGTCTAGTCTTTTTTTTTTTTCAAAATAGTGTATGCATGTCTGTTGAACTTTAGCATTGCAGTTCCATCAAAGCTAGAATGACATTGCAGGGATTTGTAAGATGTTTAGCATTATCTCCTCATAGTTGTCCATGAATTGCAGAATAGAAGGGTAGTCTTGAAGGATTAGAGGTAAAGCTCCTTAGGTATTGTAATACTGCTATCATGCTTTTCATTACACTAAGCATACCTAGTTTCTACCATTCTTCATGTTTTAGCCTTCAGTCCTCTAATCATCTTTGTTGCTCTTCTCTAAAATCTCAACTTTGTGTGTGTATTATGTGTGTGTGTGTTATGTTAACCAAAACTGAATGCAATATTCCAAGTGTGGTCTTACCAAAGCATTATAAAGTGGTACTAACACTTCACATGATCTTGATTCTCTCTGTTAATGGAGCCTAGGACTGCATTGGCTTTTTTGGTGGCTGCAGCATACTGCTGGGACATATTTGATTGTCCATTAGGAATCCCAATCCTCTCACAGTTACCACTATTGAGCTAGGTACCACCTATTCTATATCTGTGCATTCGTTTTTTCTTGTCGAAGTATAAAACTTCACTTTTCTCATTGTTGGATTTTATTTTGTTGTTTAGAGCCCAATATAGGGTCAAGATCCTTCTGGATCTTAAATCTATCTTCTAAAGTGTTGACTATTCCCACCAGGTTGCTATATTTGGCACATTTGGTAAGTTCCCTTTCTATTCCCCCCTTTAAATCAATTATGAAGATGTTGAAGAGTCCTGAGTTTAACACATAATCTCAGAGTATCCCACTGCATACTTGCTTCCATTAAGGACTACACGTTGAGTGTGGTTAATCAGCCAGCTACAAATCCATCTGGTGGTGATGCTGTTTATCCAAAAAAAAATTCGCTTACCAAGAAGTAGGTTGTGGTCCATTTTGTCAAATGATTTATTGAAGCCTAAATAAATTATGTCTACAGCATTTCTCTGGTCTGCTAATTTAGTCACATTGTCAAGGAATGAAATAAGATTTGTCCAGCATGATTTATTTTTGACAAGCCCATATTAGGTTTTAGTGTTTGCAGATTTGTTGCTTGATTATCTTTTCCAGGATCTTTCCAGGTATTGATGTCAGTCTGATTGATTAGTAATTTCCTAGATCCATATTTTTACCTTTTTTGAAGTTACGAATTGTGTTAGTTCTTTTTTCAGTTCTCTAGTAGATCGTCAGTGCTCCAGGATCAGTGGTACAGTGGTTATGAGATCATATCTGCCAGAACCCTGGGGTGTAATTCATCTGAACTCTGGGATGTAATTCATCTGGTCCTGATGATTTGAACTTGTATAGAGTAGATAAGTGTTCTCTTACTGAATGAGTAAATGAATGATTGCATGTGAGTCCTGAAGTTTTCTTCCTTGTGAAATGTTCGTTTTCATTGTCTCCATTTTCCCTTATACCAATCTCATTTTAAATTGATAATGCTTATGTATGGTTATGCAATCTTAATTGAAAAGAGGAAATAAACTTGAGGTATCACTAGAATCACACATTATATAGTTATAATTATATATTATGTAGGCTATAGTTTGATTTGTCTGGTTATACAACAGTGTGTTTGCAAAACATTGATCCTGTAAACTGTGGTTTATAGCTCTACATTATACATTGAACCAAGCAATTACTAATACACAAACTACTAATTTAATAGCACTGGTAGTATTAAATTAAAGTACTACTAATGCAACTATTGATAGCTTTGTAGCTCATTCATTCATTCATTAAATTTTTATGCTGCTTATCTCTCCTGCATTTGTTTAATTTATATAATTTCCCATTTCAAACCAGCAACTTTGGGCAATGATCATAAAAATAATTAAAATAGTTAAAATCCAATACAAAAAATAACCAAGGGATATTGTAATCTGTCATGCATTCAGGAAACAAAGTTCTTTACATACAAACCAGGCACATAGCTAAGTTTTCAAGGCCTTGCAAAAGGCCAATATCCTAATCTCAGGAGGGAGGATGTTCCATAGGGCAAGAACTGTGGCAGAAAAGACACATCTTTCCTTAAGCTGATATGTTTTGACTGCTGGGAGTCAGAGGCTGCTATCCTGCCAATTCCAATTGGACGGGTAGAATCAACTGGGATTCTCGGTTCTTCAGGTAACCTTTTCCCAAGTCATAGAGAGCTTTAAAGGTTACACCCAGCACCTTGAATTGTATTGGAAATACACTGGCAACCAATGCAGTTCTTGAAGCAATGATGTTATATGTGCTGAATAGCTAATAGTCTGTTCAACTGTATTCTATACCATCTGACATTTCCAGAACTCTTAAGAGCAGCCTTGAAGCTTATTATGGGTATGTTTCTAACATAAATTGTAGGATCTGTAGGTGATTGTTTGATTATCTGCTTTCCATGTACAAGTTGTTAAACAAGATCAGATAATAGGTAGTGACTAAGATTATAGAATATAGTTCCAATAGATAATACTGTTTAATATGTCCTGGAACATTTTTCCATCCATTCCTTTGGATATCTCTAATTTGTTTTTGTTTTTTATATAATTCCATAGGTCATTGTTCGAGGAGGAGGACACATTTTGCCTTATGACCAACCAGAAAGGGCTCTTGATATGATGGATAGATTTATCATGGGAAAAGGATGGAAACAAAGCAGATATGGAAAATGAAACCCAATTGTTGAAATTCTTTGGAAAGTTCTCAAGAGATTGCATTCACCAGTATTGATCTGAGGAACTGATGAAGTATTATTGGAGCTATCCCCCCCTCTTTGGAAAATCTATTTCGATCTATAATTAAACTATTCGTGTAAATTTGTTCTCAAAATAAACATCACACACCTGTGTCTCTTTCTCATTCTGTTTCTCCAGATATTCTTGCCCTGAATAAAAGAACCCAAAGCATATAATTCTTACAGCAATTTCCAACTTTTTTGTTTTGCGAAATGAGCAGCATCTATGGCAGCCGTGGTGGGTCAAAGTGGTACAAATTGTGTACTGTGGACTTTTTTATTGTAGCATTTTGCTTCAAATGTAAGTCTTTTATCGTCATGTGAATCTTAGTTGAGGGAATGGCAGAGAAATGTTTAAAAAAAAGTTTTTTCTATTCTGCCTTAAGGGCATACAACAGAACTTTTAGAAATGATTTCCAGCACAAGCTGTGCTCCTATAAGAAACACTATGTTCACACTGGGATTGTTAGACAGGTATTTATTCAAACATTTGATGCTAATGTAAAGTTAAAAGCCTATAAACACATAATATAATTTTTAATTCAATTTTTATGAAGATGGGTCAATGCAACAAGAAACTTTTTAAAAAGCATTTATCAGCAATTGAATAGCACTAAACCCAATGGATTTTTCTTCCAATTAATGAATTGCTAGAACATAAACTTATGTAAACTTTTGGGAAACATTTCTTACTAAACTATAGAAGGCATACTTCTACATGAACAAGAACAAGAACTGTGTTGTATATGTTCTGCCTGAACTGAATGAAATACATTGTTTTGAATTTCATGGAAGGAAGGTTGACTACAAATCATGCAATAAAAGAATAGTAGTAACTGGGTGATCTACCTTTATCTACCTTTATCTTTGCTTACATATCTTTCAGCAAATTTTTGCAATTTCTTTTTTCCATTTAAAATTTGAATGCTACAATAAAAATAAACAATTTCAATAGGGTATATTGTTGACTGAATTGGACATGTATAGTCTTTACACCAATCACCAAATTCACCTTTCATATTTAACAAAATCAGCTAGGACAGCCAACCTTTTGGACCTCAGGGCCACCAAACTCATAATTTTAAATCCCGCAGACCAGAGACCCTGGGAAAATCCCAAAACAAGTCTGCAGGAAAATTGCCCACTCCGTTTTCCTACCAATCAATCATTCTTTATTTGGGATTGCAGGATACCGTCTCCAGCTCCGTTCTCAGGGGGAGAGAGAGAGAGAGAGAGACTTTTGACTTCATGCAAGGAAAACTCAGGTTTTCAAGTGATGAAATCCATTTAAAAAGAAAAAACAAAGTCCATCTTCCAAGCATCAAATTGGCAAAGTCCATGGTAATTCCAGATCTGACACAACCCAGAATTACCCCACAATATTAAAAGTTAGAAACAACCCCCAAAAGTCTTATTCTCCAATAAAAATAATTCAACTTTGCTTGATGTCATAAATCTCCACCTCAAAGGGCCCCAGCACAGACAGCTCGTTTCCCATGGAAAGGAGAATCACCTAGCCAAAACTTTATCTCCACTCCTCCCCACTTAGAATGTGGCAAGTCTGAAATCCTTCCTCCCATGACTACCACAGAGAAAGTAAGAAAAAGAATATATACTAAGCCTAACTAAAATGGTTACACATGTCAATTTTGGGCTTAGCAGAAGCAGCAAAGTCTTTCTCTCCCCCAAACTCCGCCGGAAATGAGTCTTTGCGAGACTTGTCATGCCGGCGCAGCCTCTTAGAGAACGATGCCTTGTAGGGTCCCAAAAACTCATTTCTGGTGGAGTTTGGGGGAGAGAAGGAAAGACTTTTGCTGCTTTCCTTGCATGCAGCCAAAAGCAGAAGAAGAAGGAAGCAGAAAGAAGCCGCCCGATGGCCAGGCGAGGCATGTGGGGCGAATGGGGCAAGTTCCCTCCCTCCGCCCTTTCCCCCCTCCCCTCACTACCTCATGTTGTTTGCAATGCAAGCGACACAAGCCTTGTGTTCCCATGAGCCATGTGGGCGGCACAGCTTGTGTTCCCGCGCAGCCTGGATTAATTGCTTTGGGGTTGACATTTCTCTGCAGACCACCAAAATTTTCTTGTGGACCACCAGTGGTCCCCAGACTAATTTAGCCTTCATAATCCGGACTGCTTTTGTCCATTTATTTTATTTTTATTTATTTATTTATTTGATTTGTCAATTGTTTACAAGATAATAAGTACAAGTGTATACATGGTTGTGAATATATGAAATAGGTACATATAAGAAAAATAAAAAAATAAGAGAAACAATAGGACAGGGACGGTAGGCACGTTGGTGCGCTTATGCACGCCCCCTACAGACCTCTTAGGAAAGGGGTGAGGTCAATAGTAGACAGTCTCAGGTTAAAGTTTTTGGGGTTTGGGGAAGAAACTACAGAGTCGGGTAGAGTATTCCAGACATTGACCACTCTATTGCTGAAGTCGTATTTCCTGCAATCAAGTTTGGTG